TGAATAAGCAGCACTGTATTTTCTAAACTGTGAAAGTGCAGATGCAGACATTAGACACATACACGATTTCTTCTGGCTGTCTGCGTCATACTAAATGCCCAGCTGGAAAGCTGAGATACTAAAAGGTGCTCGACCTTCTGTTCTCTACACGAATGAAGCTTCTTTCCTCTGGTTGTGTATCTGCACTAGAGGAACAAGAATCTCTGAGTAGCTCATGAAATCCTTTCTAATCTCCCTCAGTGCAAGGGAGGAACAGCTCTGGGAACGAAGCAGGAACAGGAGCCCCAGTGAACAAGCAAATCAGAGCCAAATCATAGTGACCTCTCTGCAGGGACTTAGAGTCCTATGCAAAGATCTGGCCCAGAGTCCCTTTTCTTACAAGTTGCCATTACACTTTATGTGCCCTTTAAGCCAGTGAGGTTAGTTTTATCGCCATTTCAACATTGACAAAGACAAAGCAGAACAGAATAAAACAGGCTGGATAAGTGTTCCCTCCTCAAAAGGTTATAAAAATTATAAGACTATAAAATTCAATAAAACTTGGCAGGATGATAGCAGCTTTATAAATGCAGTGGGAATTGCTAATTAACTCTACTTTTGTGTACTATCACCATTTTAATTGAAAAACACAGGTTTTTAGGACACATTTCAAGGTATTTTCTTTTCTCTGCTTCATTACAGTAGTCTTATAAGTCCCCAGGAAATCGTGAGCTCTGAAACATGTCCTTTAGAAATGGAGGTGAGCTGACAGACAGACACACAGGTCCTAATACAACGCTGCCCTTTCTGCCTGAGGAATGGTGTGATGTCATAATTCACAAACACATTCCCGTTTTCTGATAATTCTCTGAATACACAGCAAGGATTTGTCATCCAAAGATAGGAAAAATAAAGAGAAATAACTTAAAAGTCACCAAATAACAAAACTGAGGCTTGAATTTTCAAATCTGTGTGATTTGAGATCCATACATATCCCACGACTAAATATGAGGTTACGCAGAACCAGGTCAAGTCAGAAGCACCCTGCTAAGCTGCCTTTGTCAAAAAGTTTAGATGTGTGGAGAAGAGGGTGAAAGCCAAGCGGACGAACTGGATACTCATATCCTCCCAGGATTTCCAGCCTGAGATCTAGAAACCCCTGGGAGGAGAAATGGCAAGAAAATCATGGGTGATAAATAATTGGTCCTAATAGAGACGTCTTGAAGCAACTCACCTGCTCGCCATTGGCTTCCACGTGCCCTGGAAAGATCTCTCACAAAAGGAAGTGAGCGCTCGGGTCTCTTCCTCACCGCACTCATGTTCAGGGCTGGTTCCTTTAAAATTCATAGAGCTCCCCATCAACCCACTATAGGCCAGCGGTCCCACGAGCTCTGGCATTTGACTGGGGAGTGGTTTTCTTCCCCAGTTTGCTTTTGGGGGTGCCGTGGGGTTTTCCTGTGCTCTTAAACTTCACTGTTCCTATTAGTAGACTTAATAAATACTGCACGCAGAGGAGGACTATGGAAATGGCCACGTGCTAGTGCCTATCACAGTATTAAAGTCCCTCTCACCTTAGACATTCGCAACCTGATAACTCGATGTGTAAAATGACCAGTCCCTGGCAGTGCCCACTACTCCACAGGCCTTAAGAAGGCGGTTCTCACCTTGGCTGTAGGTTAGAGTCCCTTGAGAAGCTTTTTTAAAAAAAAATTCCTTACATCCTAAACCCACTCGCAGAGACTCTGATGTTATCTCATCAGTCTGGGGTGGGGAATGGCTATCCTATTTTATGAACACAGCTGGTTTTAAAGTGCAGCCGGGATTGAGATTCACTATTATTTAGAGACTAGTATGTTCCACAGAATAAACAAAGTAGCGTGAACTTCTTCATTATTCTTACATCCTCAGGCTCTGGGACATTGCTTTGTAATTATGTTAAACACAGAAAGAGTGAACACCATAATGTTTCAATTAATGTGGGCGTCTGTGGTTCTAATTAACACCATGGGTCTATCGTGGTCAGCTCTGAGTGGGCTTCCACGTTACAGTGGTTACATGGATTCACTCTGTTATCATCCTGTAAATGGTCCTGACTATTATTTTATAATTCAGGTCCCAACCAAAATCCTGGGGTGGGGGATGGTATTTTTTAAGGCAGTTATTTTAGATTATCTTCTATAATCTTACTCCTTCCTGTACTATGTTATTTTAGTGAGTGCATGATGCACTTACATTCTAGAATTATTCCACCTGGCCTACATCAAACATGTGGTGCCTACAAATACCATTAGCAGCGTGTGAAGGTTAGAATACTGAAGTTTGAATAAGTTAGTTTGCACGGGCAGACATACAATTGTAGTTTTCAAAAAAAAATAACACTTATGCACATAAATCAGGAATGATCCTATGATGCCCATCCTTTCAAAATACTTGGGAGATGGGACAGTTTAGGTGTCCTAGAAAAGAGTGAAAATGGCCAGTGGCTTTCTCCCATGAAGAAGGAATACTGAGCATTACTATGACTCAAGGACCTGATGTTACTCAATGGGTCCACACTCACGTTTGATATTAAATAATAGGAATAAGCAAACACAAGCTTTATTCTTCCATGAGTGTGTCATAAGCCCCTAGCATCCTATAGACGACAGTCCAATGTTAGTTTGCATCATGAAAACTAATATCCATCTCACTATGTACACCCCTGAGTATTCTCGTAGGGACAGTTGTCTAGGACCATGGCCTGCCATTGTCCTTTCATCATCTGGGTAGCACAGGCATCTTGAGATCTTGAGATCAGTAACGTAGCAATTGGGAGGGAAACGGAGAAACGTGTACCTCGGAATTAAATAGAACACAATTTAGATTATGTACTGAATAGACCTATAGATTGAAGTCAAAATTGCCCACATTTCTCAAATTATTTATCTTTTGTGGAATACAGTTGAGAGCCTAAACCTAAGATATTTGATTTATACATTTACTTTGACATTTTAGTGCTTTCACTGCCTATTCTGGCCTGGCAATGAGTCCTATTAGTTAGAATTAGATTTGAGTTAACATTTGAATGGGAGCAGATAACCTCAGTGTGGATAATTAACAGTTCTCTTATAAGTGTATCTATGATAAAATCTCCAAAATCGTCCAGCAGGTATCATCACCAAGAATCATGCTAGAACACCCATGAGATGGTCACACATAACCCTGGCATGGAAACGGATTATTAAGGATGTTAAGACTTTAAAAAAATTAATTATAACATTGCTATCTACACCAAGTGAAATGTACATAAAAATACTTTTTTGTCAATACGAGAAGAAACAAATCATGGAAACACAAGTTTTGATGTCTCAGATGGATGGAATTGAACACTGTTCCCTCTTTAGTTTTCACTTATAGTTTTATGAAAATTTAATAAGGAAAATGATCTGTCTAGAATTTGCATGCCATTCAGTTTGATTAGTTCTTTCTAAATTCAGCACATTGGCAGGTGCACATCTTTTCTGAGCTCTGCTGGCATATTATGTTGGTTCCGCAAGAGTAATTTAGTTTTGGAATTACCTGTTTGACTTCTGGCCTGTCCTACATTGCGATGATGAAGCAGACCTTCTGCCTAAAAGATCAGAATAAACAAAAAAACATTTAACTTGGGCTTTTGTAATTCTGCTCTTTTAGAACCTTCACCGCTGATTTCTTTTTGTATCAAATGGTGTCAGAGGCTACGATGCTAGAATCACCATCACAGGCTGGATTCTGCTCATCATCCCTCCAGCTCCCCAGGCTGCCGTAGGGAGACTGCTAAGGTCTGCACATTGAGCTCCCGTGCTAATTTTACTCACGACAGAAACTTCTGAATTATACAGAGAAATCAAAGTTAGTAAGTTGGAACTTCTCAGAAGGTTGTAACAGACATGATGTTTCTTAAATAGAAGAGGTGGAAGAAAGGGAAGTGGTGCTGCCCGTTGCTCGGTCCTGCCCGTTGGTGACAGACGGCGTTTCTCTTTACAGCACTGTTCAACCTCATACCCGTGGGCCTGCGCGTCGTCGCCATCCAGGGCGTGAAGACAGGGTTGTACATAGCCATGAATGGAGAAGGTTACCTCTACCCGTCAGTAAGTAACAGGCCCAGGTGTTGGCCGTTCGTGCGATGTCTGCAAAATAGCAACAGCAACCACCACAAAGATGAGAACGTTCTCTGTCTGGTGACCCCTTCATCTTTGCTGCAGTATTTGACCTTTACTATGATGCTGCAGGGGCTGTTAATTCATTATTCATCAGTGTTTGATAACATTAATCTATCAAGCAGAAGAGTCATATTATCTCTAAAAATTGTGCGTTTGCATATTTTAAATGTCCCAGTTCACAGAAAATTGAGCGATTGTGAAAGAGTTGCTGTTCCTATAATCTTTTTTTATTTCTATTTAGAAAGGTACCTGTCTTAGGGAGTTTCTTGTGAAAGATTATTTTATATAAAGAAACAGAATTAATGGGAATCCTGAAAAAGAAAATTCAGGAGACAGTAGTTTTTCTAAAACTAAGAATTCAAATTGTATAAATGTTTTACTGGGAAAATACTTCTGATATCAAAATGTATATTGCATTTCAATTAAAGCCGGTCTCTGTTTTGAGTTAATGTGTATTAGAAGCTGAGCGCTTTTCCAGCCCCTTCTGGAATATTTACTGTTTACAAATAATCCACATTCTGATTAGCCATAGGTTACAGTGCGGTTAGAATTCGTTTCTGCCACAGGTCCAAGCAATGGAGACTTGGATGAAAATACTTCTTTCCTCTATTCTTTGATCAAAAATTGACAGATGATAGTCATAGAGCCTCAGAGAAAATAATCTTATTTGGGTTTGCATGCCATCTTCATATAAATTCTTAAAAACTGTTGTTGCGAAATACCATCCTCAAAAAACTACACGTAAACACACACACATTTTACACACACACACACACACACACACACACACCCCAAAACTGAAGCAGAGCAGAAGTGTTCTCTGGGGCCTCCCATGAAATGTGATATGTTTTCTTTAGCAAATCCGGGAAATCCTGTCACAGAACATGAAATGTGAGCTGTGGATTCCCTTTGTGGTGAGCTAGGAAAGGCTCCTGTCACTTTGGAACCTTCCTCTGAGTTCCATGAAGGGTGTTCCAGCCCGTGGACCTGGGCCCCACATTGTGCAAATTGCATTTTGTTGGCCAAGATGAATGTTTAACATATTGGGAGCAAAATGGAGCTAGAATTCCCTCTCTCCTTTAGGAAAAACTCGATTCAGATAATGATCATTTTCTAGAGATGCCCTATTTCAGATAAAAGTCAATTTCATTGATTTGACATTTGTTTCATTATTTTTGTTTGTTTCTCTTTCCCCCAAGTAATCTCTGAGATGCCTAAAAATCGTTAGATGCGGTCTCTGCCGCAGCCTCTAGGTCTGTGTCTGCTGATGATTTTATCACGTTGTTGTGCTCTGGGGTGTGCATTGATGTCAGGGGAAATGTAAATGTTTGTTTCATCTTTTTGCTTCTGAGGGAGATGCTTTCTATTTTTGTGATGGAATTGCACACATGTGCCATTTTTTTAAAGGTAGGGAATGTCATCGTGAGTACGTGTCTGGTTGTGTTCGGTGCGGTGTAAATGGTGCAGCGGGGGTAGACGTGAGGAAGGCACTGACTGCCCAGTCCTCTATCCTCTGCACCTTAAATGTGGCCTTTCCGCCCAAGAATCAGATCTGTGGGCAACAGCACCGGCCCCAGGATTTGTCCCACTAGCAGCATCAGACTTACCATCTGACTCATCGTTTTCCTCTCTCACCTCCCTGACTGTCCAGTCACTTGGCTTCTGAGCCTCCCTTTTGGTGCCTTGAATCTCTGATTTGCAGACCTTGGCTTTCTCCTCTTCTCATTTTTGACTCTCTGCTCTGAACCCAGGACCTGGTAAGGGGCACTCTCTTTACTCAGCCCTACCTAAAGAGGTCCCGCTGCCCAGGCCAGGCCCTTAGAATCTTCAGCATCTTGCGGGAGGAGGATTTAGATAAAAATCGAATGTGATTTCGACTTTTTACTAGCATTCTCTAGTTAAAGTGCTCTGTTTATTTCAATGTAATGAAATTCAAATATTTCAGTAAAAACAATGTTTTCCCACATTCAGTCATTTATTCCACAATTAGCTACTGAGAGCCTACTAAAATAATAATATAACAGCTGCTATAACATATAATAATAATAATGGTTAGTATTGAAGCACTCTGCCTGGTACTCTTCTAAGCATGTTACAGTCTTAGCTCATTTAATTCTCCCAATTTATTAAGCAAATACCATTAAAATGATAATGCCAGTGTACAGAGAGCTTACGAATCTGTGCGGTCGGTCACCCAGGTAGTAGTCAGTGAAGGCAGAGTTCAAGCATCGTTAGTCTGACTCATTAACTGTGTTTCACTCCACCGCTTCCATGCGCCAGACATTTTTCATAATATGGTCTGGCACTTGTGCTAACAAGAGGTTATAAACACGAGATGTTGTAAGGAAAATCTTTAGGGAATTGTAACCTAGGGAAGAAACTTGATTCAGTTATTAAGAATTATAATTTGAAACATAATCTGCTTTCCTTGGAGATTCTTAAATAAAAAAATTAAAATTGTAGAAAATGATCGGAAAAAATGGAAAAAGTTTGATATTATATGCTGGGCATTTAATAATCTTAAAATGTATTACATGTGACATTTGAGCTTAAATTTTTAAAGCTGACATGGTTAACCCAACTAAGAAGTTTTGAACTAAATTGAAAAACTTTTTTAAAAGGAAAATGCCACTCAAGCTCAGATTTAAAGAAAAAGGTTAATAAATATTTAAGTCTGGGAAATGTGTCTGTTTTAAGCTCATGCCCACTTTTAAAACATCAGCTTAAATTAGTGTCTAATATGAGAACAATTTTGATACTTTATAGATTGAGAAGTTGGGCAGTAAAATATTCAACAAGAGTTCTGTTAAATGAAAGTCGCACTAGGGATTTGATGTGAGGTGTACAGTCCTCTGTTTGTATTTCAGAAGGTAACTCTCATAATCCCTTGCCATCCAAATAAAGATTTTAATTTGTCAGACAGTTCCGCCTCAGGGGGACCAAAAAAACCCATCTTGACTGAGATGTAAATAATCACATTTCCAATGCAGAAGGCGCTTGTTCCTTGTGGAATCTCTTCTTCAATATGACAATAGTCATTTCTTTTGTGGTCATAATGACTGTAGTATGTCACTTAAAGATGCGTCTCGAGAGATCTGATGACAGATGCAAACAGTTTGCTTGAAGGTAGAACGCAGGCTGCACAGTCACAAAACAGAAACTGACAAGTAAATAACTTTTTTAAAGAATGAGTTTGAAATGATGTTTAGGGAAAAAATGTATTTTGACCCACTATAAACTATCTATAGAACAGTCAAGTTTCTTTTTTTCTTTTCCCAACAAACTCTGACTTTGAAAGACTAAGAAATCCTCTGTAGAAAGACAAGGTTTGAATGTAAATTCTGAACACTGAGGAAAAATTTCGAATGAAAGAAAAATATCATTCATCATTTGGGCAGAGATAAAGAATAGCTGAAGTCAGAATGTGTTTCTGATGTAAGAAAAGAAAGTGGGGGAGGGGAGAGGTGGAAGGAAAAGGGACTGATGATGAACAACCGGTGAGGCCCAGGACCCTGGGCCTGAGGGTCAGTTCCTGTGTGATCACGTTATCATGTCCCAGGCTGCCTGGCTCTCAGCCTGCTCACCTACAAAAAAAAAAAAAAGAAGGGAGGGAGGGAAAGAGGAGGGAAGGAAGGAAGGAAGGAAGGAAGGAAGGAAGGAAGGAAGGAAGGAAGGAAGGGAAAAAGAAAGAAAGAGGAAAATGTTTCTTGAATGTTTTAAGATAATTTGGGGGTTTGAATTTCTGGTTTAAATCTGGTTGATTTTTCTCAAGGATGGGGTTAAAAAATGTACATAAAATGTGTAGACTCATTTTTTGCTGTCTTATCACATTTATGGGAATATTATTTTTCATGGGGTTGCAAATGTTTCTATTACCCAGATGCAGGCATCTAGACAGTGAGCTCTGGTGTTCTCCTAAAACTGGTATTTCGTCCGAGCCTCTGAACCAAGTGATACAAGTGGAGAGGAAGACAAACCCCTTTCCTATAGATTTTAAAAACGAATCAAGAAAGTGCACTGTGCTGTGTTGTGCAAATATCAAAGCTCCTAAGAATTACCTGGAAAGAAAGGAAAAATGCAAATGCCTTGGATCAACCTCTGGATATTTCATTTCAGTATGTCTGGTGGGAGGCCCAGGAATCTACAGTTTAGTAAGGAGCCCCTACCTCCCTCACTCACCCACTGGCGGGTCATTCCAAAGCCAGTAGCCCAACAATCAACAAACACCCAACAAGCATCGTTTCAGTGGCTGGTGGGGGAGGTGATGGTAGCCTTAGACCAAAGTGGTGAGAGTAGAGTTGGGGAGAATTGGGAGGCAGACTGCCCAGGCACAGAAACCGACATTGAGTAAAATTAAATATTTGGTTTTCCTAACTTCATCTGCTACTAAGTTGAACTTTTGCAGAGATTTAGAGCAGTTCTGCACTCCTGCTTACTGAAGCAGCAGCTCGGGCTCTGGGACACTTGGACACTGATACCCCTTTATCCTAACGTCACTTCACCCAGCTATCAATGCACATTGAATGTATGGGGTGGGGTGTATGTGTGTGAAATATTCTTTAATTAAGGAAAAGAAAAGCTAAATGCTGTGTAGTCTGCAAAAAGCATTTTCAAGGACCTCAAAGTCTTATCTACCTTGCATGAGACAGGTTTCTGATACTATAGTCGTATCTTTCAGAAAGATTTTCATGAACCTCTTTTACAAAGGTGGTTCCACTGTCCCTCGTCTGTGCCAGCAAGCATCTCTTAATTACGTGTCTTTGTGTTTCTGTCTGTCCTCAACCTTCCAAGAACACCCAGACGGGAAAGTCTCAGAGCTCCCTGCCTCCTACCATCAGTGGTACATCTTTCTTCGAGTCCACAGCTCTAGCAAAACAGGATGGAACAATGTGTTTTCCTCTTGATATTTGCTCCTCTGTTCATTGCTC